ACTTATTTAGAAATACATTTTATTTTTAATAAAATACACCGGACCCTAAAGGGAAAATTATATATTATATAATTAATTTTCTTCAGAAGTTAATATTATTTAGTTAATACAATAACGTGGTTTACCAGTCAGCCGCGCATTTCCTTATCGTATACTAAGTCGCCTACATTATATAATTAATATCTTTTTTAATGTTGGTTATATAACGTTCAAATTTTTTCATTAGTCTTTGATAAGAGTCACCAAACTAAATAAAAAGTTTTAAAAAATTAATTTCTATTTAGAGATAGAGTAAATATATTATATCCTTATCAAAGACCCATATTTCTATTCCACTACTTATTTCAATATAAAAAGATTAAAGTGTCTTTTTCTATTAAATTTAACTAACGTACCTGCATAGCGAGCGACGCATCATAGCGAGCGACGCACGTCCTCCCAATTCTACCCTCTTCATCTTTAGGTCACCTTTTCTCCACGTACGAACATGCAACTCCTCAATTGAAAGTCGAATTACCCTTGCCCTCCAAGCTATTGAAAAAGACCCGAAAATGTCTATACGAAGAGCTGCCTCTATCTATGAGGTCCCTGAATCAACCCTCCGCCACCGACGCGCTGGACGCGTCGCACGAGGTGAAACACGACCAAATTCGATGAAGATGACTATAACAGAAGAGGAGGTGATTCTTGAACGAGTTATTGACCTAATCGATCGAGGGTTCCCTCCGCGACAAGAAGACGTACGAGAAATGGCCGACCAACTCCTAAACGCACGCGATGGGACGCGTACTGGACCGCGATGGGCAGAGAACTTCGTACGACGCGTCCCTGAATTGAAAATGCGGTTTCAACGTCGAATCGACTATCAGAGGGCCTTAGCTGAGGATCCTACGATTATACAAGGCTGGTTTGCACTTGTGCGAAACACAATTGCAAAGTATGGGATACAGGATAACGATATCTATAATTTTGACGAGACTGGTTTCCTGATGGGAATGCTATCGCACGCAAAGGTTGTTACGACTTCTGACCGTAAGGGAAGGCCTCGTACGAAACAGCCTGGCAATCGAGAATGGGTTTCTGTCATTCAGGGTGTATGTGCGGATGGCTGGGCGCTGCCTCCGTACGTCATCGTAAAGGGCAAATATCACCTCCTCTCGTGGTATATTCATGGCCAATTTCCAGCCACATGGCGTATCCATCCAAGCGAAAATGGATGGACGACAAATGATATTGGCCTAGATTGGCTAAAGCACTTTAATCAGTGTACAAGGACTCGTACGAAGGGCTCTTATCGCCTCTTGATCCTTGATGGCCATAATAGCCATAAATCGACTGACTTTGACGAATACTGCAAGGAACAAAACATTATTGCTCTTTGTATGCCTCCCCATTCATCACACGAGCTTCAGCCTCTTGATGTTGGGTGCTTTAGCCCGTTAAAGTACTCGTACGGCAAGGAAATCGAGAAGATGATGCGGATACAGATTTCCCATAGTACAAAGGATGACTTCTTTCCTGCCTTTAAAGCAGCATTCTTTACTTCCATGGGCGAAAATAACGTACGAGCTGGTTTTAGGCAGGCAGGCCTTGTACCTTTTAACCCTGAAGTGGTTATTTCTCGCTTGGATTTCAAGCCAAAGACGCCAACACCATCAAACTCACGGCCAAGCAGCCAAGGCTCCTGGGACCCAAGGACACCAATTACAGCACTAGAGGGCGTACGAAGTGCTACCTCCCTTAAAAGGAAGATCCAAGCACATCAAGGTAGCTCACCAACAGCAATGTACGAAGTAATTGACTTCCAGGCCAGAGGTATTAGCAAGTTAGCCCATAGGCTTGCTATTATTGAGGCTGAGAACCGTAAGCTTCGTACGGGGATAGAGGTACTAAGTAAGCGCCGGAGGGCAAAAAAGACCCGGCTACGTCTTGGAGGGTCACTTAATAGTGCTGAAGCAGAGGCACTACAAGTAGAGAAGGGTGGTGTTAATGCTGGAGGAGAGAATAACGCTCAGAAGGAGGGTCGTACGGAAGGTGCTGAACCACGCGCGCGACGATGTGGTAATTGCGGGAAGCCTGGACATAACGCACGAACCTGTGAAGTGGTTTGGGATAGTAATGAGGAAGAGGGTGATATATAGTTTTAATTGATTTCGTACGTTGTGGCTAAGTTAACTTATACATAAGGTAGAAAGGTTTGAGAGAGTGCGTCGCTCGCTATGATGCGTCGCTCGCTATGCAGGTACGTTAGTTAGATTTTAAATATATTATAAAGATACTGAAATCTTTTTAATTAGTTATTATTCAAAGAAATTAGGTAAATATGCAATTTAGTATGTGATAAGGAAATGCGCGGCTGACTGGTAAACCACGTTATTTATATTTATAAAGCTAGAAAAAAACAAATATATATCATATTATATAAAGTAAGTTAAATAACTATTACTTTATTTATTTATTTATTATTTTTGAGTACTATTTCTAAATAATAAAATGGTTAAAAAAATAAGTATTATAACGTACTTTACCAGTCAGCCGCGCACTTTTCCCGACATCGTAAATATCTTATAAGTTTATATCACTAGAATGTAAAAATTCAATTAGCTTTCATCGGCATCTGAATTACTAGACGATTTCTATTTTTAGAACACGTTTGCGTATTATGGCCTGTCTTGCCGTACATACCGCAACGCCTTTGAGCCGACCGACCCTTCTTTGACAGACCACCTTCTTTACCTTCTTGAGGCGCTGGGCGTTTCCCTTTACTCTTTTCTTTTAAAATAACCTGAGATTCCTCTATACTAAGTGCTCCTCTAAGCTATATACGCGTTTTTTCGCCCTCCGCCGCTTAGTAAGCGCCACATTGGCATCCTGAAGTGTGCGCACCTGATCCGTTAAAATAGTGATCGAGTACGCTATTGCCTGCGTACCCTTTGCTAGCCGGTCAACTGCCTCGATTATTGGTGTCAGAGAGCTTCCCTGATAGGTTGAGATCCGATTTTTAATAAAGTTGGACTGTGAGAGCGCTTCGTGGTGGTTAGAGGGCGTTTGCGATTGCCAGACTGGTGGTGTTGAGGGGTCGGTCATAGGAGGTGTAGGCGTCCGTATATGCATATCGAGCTTCCTAATTACATGATTTGGGTCCCACGGTAAAATACTAGCTCCGCGGAAGGCGGATTCAATGTTTCATTTGAAAAGACCTTGTTATAGGCCTTACGGAAGGCAACGAAGAACTCGGACTTCGTAATGTGGTTGACGGAGGATTTGATGAATAGGTTGATTTCACCCCCGTATGCGCGTTTCATTGGCGAATAAAGCGCAATATCTAATGGCTGGAGTAAGTGAGATGAATGCGGAGGCATACTAATAGTTATAATATTGTTCTGCTTGTAGTATTTGTCGAATTCGGCCGATAAATGGCTCTCGTGCCCATCGATTATGAGCATCCGATAGACACCTTTTACGTGGGCCCGAGTATGCTTATCGAAATGCTTGATCCAGTCCAGGCTAGTTTTATTATCGGTCTATCTATTAGTAGTCGGTTTAATCACCTAGTCGCCTGGGAAGCCGGATTCCGTTGACCAGTTGGTAAGGTGATAGGACCTTCGAACGATCACGAAAGGCGGGATGTACCACCCCCTCGAATTGATGTAATCAATGACTGTAGCCCATTCACGGTTGCCAGGCTGGATAGATTTCGCTTTTCCACGTCTATCGGTACGCGTAACGACTATTAATGCGGTAATAACGCCTATTATGAAGCCGGTCTTGTCGAAATTATATAGGTCCTCGTTATTGATGCCGTACTTGGTTATTATGTTACTTAACAACGCGAACCACTTCGAAATAACCTCTGGATCCTCTTGAAGGGCCCTTTGATAATTATATAGACGATTGAATTTGGTCTTTAGAGTCGGCTGCGAGTTGATAAACCTCTTGGCTTAGTGCTTCCCAACGGGCGTCCTATTCCGCGTCCGAAGTAAGAGATTCGCCATATCTTCTATACTAGCGAGTCGTAGAGGAAATCCTTTGGAATCCTGCTTAATAACGTATTGGAGAAGTATTTTCTCTTTGATCGGATCGAGTTTATGTCGTTGGGGCTGGGTACGGTCGCGGCGTAGTTGATTGTTCATTTTGTTGCGTAAGGTGCTTTTAGGGATACCGTATATATTCGTAGTGCGTCGTGTACTCAGTTTTTGGCCGGCAGCGCGTGTCGTTCGGATCACCTCAATAGCAAGAATGATCTTGTCTTCTTGGGTGTAAATTGACATTGCCGTTGTTGAGTTATTACGCGTCAAATGTTTAAGTGGCTGAGAACAAAGCGCGTCATGGAAAAAGTGCGCGGCTGACTGGTAAAGTACGTTATATTACTTTAAACTTAAATCATTAAGAATAGAAATATTAAATATTAGTCTATATTTTAGATGGGTGCCGGCGGTGGGCAGGCACGCGACCTTAGATAAGCGTACGTGTAGTATTCGTCTAGCACGTAGTGCTAGAAGTAACTGATCTTTTAGGTCAATTGGCAAGAGCGCAGCACACCACCTGCCTCCTTATATATTTTAAAATAAATATAGTTAGCTAATAATCAATATTTAAAACTTGTCAGATCACATCCTTTACTTCTAATTATAGCGCTTAAAGTAAACTAGTTAAGGCCCGGGCCTCCTTTATGTTCCTCCTATTCCTCATTAGTGGGACAAGCAATCGTCATGACCCACAGAGAAGGCAAAAAACTAACGGCATGGTCCAGGCTAACCGAACTCATCGTTAACAACCCCTTCCTTGAACTGGGAGCATGATGGCTACTTCACGAGCTGTTATGCGACGGAATGTTGTCATCGGTCTTAACTCACGGCGGATGTTATCCTCGCATAGCAGGTTGACGTTGTCTTATGACCTGCATGAGCCTAGCAAGCGACCTGTTGGCGGGTCCTCCAACCCCATCATTTTTCTTCATGGTCTTTTCGGATCCAAGAAGAACAACAGGAGTATCAGCAAGCAAGTTAATCTCTGAGTTAAAGGCTCCGATACGGCATGCTGACCGCTATGTAGAGTTCTTGCTCGTGACTTGGGTAGACCTGTGTATGCTCTGGTATGATCCCTATACTCTGCATCCGCCAGCACGCCGGAAGGGTTTTCACTGAGACTTTGACCAGGACCTACGCAACCATGGCGAATCGCCTCACGCGAAGCAGCACGACTATGTGCATATGGCGGATGACGTTGCCGGATTTATGGATCAGCATGGACTGAAAATGCCTACTGTTATCGGTCACTCAATGTGAGTGGTATCCGTTCAAGGGCTTTTACGCTGCTGCATGCTAAATAAGATAAACCATCTCAGGGGAGCCAAAGCTGCGATGACCCTTGCATTGAAATCCCCTGAGCTCGTGCAAGATATCGTGGCGGTTGACAATGCGCCCGTCGACGCTGTCTTGGAGAGCTCATTCAGCAAGTACATTCAGGGCTTGAGAAGAATTGAAGCAGCGAACATTACGAAGCAGGCCGAAGCAGACGAAATTCTGAAGGAATATGAGGATGTGAGCTTAATCCATTTCATCCTAAGGTGCTTCACTCGATTGACCATGCTCACGGTACTTCAGTCTCTTCCTACCCGGCAGTTTCTGCTGGGCAATTTATATCGGCCCGAGGCTGGAAAGCCGCAGCAAAAGTTTCGGGTGCCCCTCGACATTATCAGCCGGTCTCTGAACCACATGGGCGACTTCCCGTTCAAGGACCCGACGAAGACTCGATTCGAAAAGCCTGCTCTGTTTGTCCGAGGAACCAAAAGCAAGTACGTGCCGGATGACGTTCTACCGACGATTGGGCAATTCTTCCCTAAGTTTCGACTCGCGGATCTTGATGCCGGGCACTGGTGCATTTCAGAGAAACCAGAAGAGTTTCGTCAAGGTATGTTGTCAATCTATTATGAAGACTCAAGAGACTGATCAATCCTCGGCAGCGGTGGTTGAGTTCCTAAAGGACCAGGACTAGAGGATGTTGACTGGTGCAGTCGTTTCACTCATCCATCACCAAACATTTACGTACAAGAAGCGAGTGGGGGGATAAGGGCGTTGGCATTTATTTTGACTGGGCAAATGTTCGGGACGAGGCCACGTAGACTTGCTATAGACACAATCCCACAAGGGAATTTTCATACGCGATGGTACTGAGGATTGGTCAGGTGGCCCTCACAAGTCGTGTTCTCGCACGAGCTAGGAGAAATGAGCAAAGTCGTGATGGCCAGGCCACCAGCGTACCTCAAGCTGGAGTGCGAAAGTCCCAATGAAGGGGGCAGCCTCGCATTTCCCATACCCGCGCCAGACAACTCGCAGCCAGGCCGCGTACACGTTACACAGAGTGTCTTTGAAGAATTGACCATTTACCATTTTGAGGTACCCTAGACCCGCAGCCGCCTTATATGCTACGCCATGTGCAACGACCTAAAACAATGCCGGATTTGTTTCCCGGCCGGTAGAGCCAGAGTCCCCTTCTGCCGAAGCATCCATCATGCAGGGCCTGATTCCTTTAAACCTCCTCAAGAACGCGCTCCTTGAACTCCCGCTCAACCTTCTGTCCCTGGTCGTCGGTGCCAGACTCGCCGTGGAGACCCATGAGGGCACCGAGATCGAACTTGGGCTGCTTGAGGAGCTTGACCTTGCGGATGTGGACCTGAGATGGTGTTAGTACCATTTAACCACTAGCAATGTGAGGGCAAGGGTAAATGGTGCTTACGTTCTGCAGGGGGTAGATGCCCTGGGTAGACTTCTCGATCTCACGACCAATGACCTCGGGGATGAGCTTGGAGGTCAGCTGGGTGAGAGTGCAGGTGGAGGCTTCGCGCTGGATGATCTCAGTCATCTTGCGGCGGATGGCACGGATTTGCGAAGAGGCAGCGTATGTCGTCTTCTTGATCTGGTTAGGGCGGCGCTTGGTGAAAGCGATGGCGAAGAGGCGGAGGAGGTAGTCGTCTGTGGTCTTGACGGTGACGTTGGCCTCAATGAGAGTCTGCCACTTGCGGACAAGGGAGCGGAGCTTGTCGGAAGTGAAGTCGAGGCCGTGGAAGTTGGTCAGGCAGTTCTTGCCCTGGACCTCGTCGACGCGGAGCTTAACCTTGCGGAAAGCGTGGTCCTCATCCTTCTGGAGATCAGCCAGAGAGACTTCAAGAATGCGGCCCTTCAGGGCGTCGTTGGCGTTCTTGAGACCGGTGGTTCTGTTGACCAGGGTCTTGCCGACACTAGAAGACGCGCGCAGTCAGCACCCAGATGTCCAGTAGCTCAATTCCTTCTCGCACTCGGCTGTCGATGATGGCTGCATGTCGAATGCTGATAGACGTCGGGTTTTGACTGGAAACTCACTCGCGAACGTTGAAAGGCGCGGGGGCCTATGAAAAAATTTCTAGTCAGTATATTGCACCGACGGCTTGGAGACTTATTTCGAATGGTGTCAATCACATACCTTGATCTGGTACCAATCCTTACGGGTAAAGGGGTCCACGGTCTTCTTCTTGAGACCCTTCTTGCCCTTGGACAATCTCTTGTTCCTACGAGAGAACACTGATTAGCTGCTGTTGACAGACTGCGCCTGCGAGACGACGATTGCGGCGAGTGGCATATCGTCGTCAATTCGTCCGGAGATGGTGGTGCTCACTTTCCAACAGCCATTTTGGGCGGCTGTTAATTGTCTGGCGGATGAACGGTGGTTGTTGAAAGGTTTGGAGGGGTGGTGGTTTCGCTGGTGATAAAATTCAAGATGCGAGAATGTGTGGCTCGAAATTCTTAGCGAGTGTGCCCCGTTCGAATTATGTAATCCAGGTTTCTCCAGCTTGTGGCACTGTGCCTGCCCCTGCCCCGGCCACGCCAGGGCAAGCACCGCGTGGGTCTTGTAGGCAAATAGCACAGTAATCGACTATCTATCCTGTCCTTAACACTGTAGGTCACGTGATACACATTTTTTTACAATTCCCAGACACAGAAGACAGCCCCAAGAGTTCCACTTAGGAGACGTCAGTGTCTCTGCAATTTTCCAGTCAATGCTTCCAATTGGTTGACTTTTCAAGATTCCTTTGGCCAGTGACATGTCATCACAATGCCCCGGCACCCCCAGTCAGGATGAAGACATTAAAACTGGAAGGTACGGAGTATCACAGCCAGAAGTAAGCCCCGCCTCTTAGAGCAATGTGGGCGTGCTATGCCTCCACATCGTGGTGATCGGTGAACGGGTCTCCCGCCTTACCGAGATTTACATTCATTCACTTCTGTCAATGGGCAAGATAGTATGTATTCTCACGCTCACGCTTACACTTTGACTAAATGTGTAAACTTATGTACCCTTTATGTTTTGTTCAGTTTGACGTACGTACGGGTATCACACCTTTAACAACCTTATAAACCTAAACGTCCTCCAAAATCACACAACGCCATTGAACGAACAACGCTGATTTCGCGTCTGTCATTGGAAAGATGCACCCCTCAAGCGTTTCCGAGCCCACAATATTAACGCCCTGGCGCAAAACCATATCCGAGTCTCACCAACATCGACGCTTTTAAATCGACCATTCCGTACCGTTGTCCGGCCGCGTTCTTATTTCTTCGCGCCGTCTCTCCTCTCGTTCTCGTTCTCCTTCTGCTCAAATACCAGCCGGGAGCAAAACAACCCTTGGCCGATGTCTTTTCTTCTTCGCCGTGTCCGGAGACGCGGAACGCTCATTTTGAGTCGAATCTCCCAGCCACGGTGGCTACCGTTGGTCGACCCTGGGAAGCCCCCCCTTCTCGATTCATTACAGCATTGTCGGTCTTATACGTCTTCTTCCTTATCATCACTGCGCCGTTCTCCGTCCCAAGCATCAAAATTGGGAAAGCTAAAATAGCCGTTCGAGTCTGGCCACACTGGTATCAGTAATTTGATCGTCGAATGCTGGTATCGTGGCAGTCTACGAACAAGATTGGTGTTCTCGATGGCCCTGAACTCGATTCGTTGTCGGAATAGTCATGTCTTCGGCGCTGAGTGACGCCATATGGGGAGTGGCCCCCGACGTCGGCGAGTACTCGGGAGGATGGCCCGAGTATACGGCAACGCGGCTGAGGAGTTCAGTGGCCCTTTGCGACGATTGCGGGCTCGATATAGCGCCACGGCTGGCATTCGATGTTGTTGTGATGGTAGGTTCCGTCGCGCTGGCTCTCAGTAGCCTTGGCCGACGTCGACGATCTGGCCGAGGTGATGCCTCTCTCCTCCGCACGTCGTCCGTGTCTCGAAGGTCTCGGGAAATGGTGGCCATCGCGTTGAACGAATGTCTTGGTATGAATTTGGGCGAAGTCGATAAAGGTACGATGGCAATCGACTTTGCAAAACTGCAACAGCTATGGGATGACGAGGAACCATGATTGCTATGTTGCGCCCCTCGTCAAGTGGGCGTTGTGCACGTTAACAACAAGCCATCACCTCCGGCTACTCGGCGGGAACGTCGGTTCCTTGGGGACGGGCGAGCCCGGTCGACGGTTTTCCGCTGACAGTACCAGCGTGCCATCATTGGACCACATGGCCGGTGCCTGATGGGGAACCGGCTCCCAACTATGTGTCTGGTGTTGTATGGGTCGGTGAGCATCTGTTTGGGCACTTATACGCAAAGGCCATGCATGGCCGGCGTCACGCCTGCAGCCATTGTGGGGTTGCCAACCGCTTCGTTGACCACCTCCCATGAGGTCTCGCTCAGTCGAGTCCAATCAAGGCCGCCCACGGCCATGGCACTCTAAGACCGGTCAAGCACACAGGTAATACACAGTTCGAGCCGGTGTATACCGCACAGCCGTACCTTATGTAGTCACGGTAGTAGGTATATCCGTATGGGATTCTGCATCGCAGCATCCCCGGTCAGCCCGCAGACGAGGTCGGGCCTATCCATACCCCAGCCTGGTTTCTTCGCAGCCGAGTGGTGCGACAATCATGAGCGATCGTCGTCTTTAGACAGTGGTCGACTCTCGCGGCTCCGTGTATTCATTACATATGTTGCAGTTGCTTCTGTTACCTTTGCATTGTTGCTATACAAGTCAATTTCACAGAGGCAAGCTATGTCAATGGGCTCGGGATTGGTTCCTGACTACATGCGCTGCTTTGTCTGCATTCTGTCTGATACATGCGGCTTAGCTCCAGGCAATACCAGCTGGCCAAGGTGCCACTACTCTCGGCTTTCCCCCCTCACCTGGCTTTGGTCTACTGGTACAAGACTGGCGTAGGCATACCACACATAGGTTCTACTCTGTCTTCCGTCAAGGCACTGCTATCGGCACTCGCAATGGCGCAGGTTTTCCACGGAGACACCAATAGCACCATCTTGCACAGGAGCTCTATCGGTTCTAACCCCAGCCGACGTCTTTTCATCTATCATCTAGACTAGGTACTACAACTACCTGCGTCATCACCCAAAGCTGGCTGTATTGCTTCTTCTCACCCCCTCCCCGCGAATACTAATTTTGCAGGAGCTAATGATCGAGACTGTGAAGTAAGGATCTCGTCAGTCATGCATGATGCCCGCAATCCGGGGAAAGCAGGGAGACTTACTCTTCCCACATCCTACCCTGCACAGCTCTCAACTCTTCTTCTGTCATGCGCTTTCCGGCGGTGAAGTAACCTAGAACAATGGAACTCATCAGTGACTGACAGCGGGCCACGTTCCCCTTCTCGCTTGCATACCTGCAGTAATCTTGGCATCAATCTCGACACGAGAATCTGCGGGAATCCACTCCTCGGGGAGCTCAACACGCTCGTGAATGGGAATTCTACAGTAATTGTTAGCAAGGATCTAGAATGCCGACACTCACAAGAAAATTATCATTACCCTTGTCCTACAATGGCATCGTGTTTCATGCTGTTGTGGTTCACGTTAGCATCATGGCATCTTGGGCGAAGAGAAGCTACTGACTTGCTCATGCTCAACATCCTGTCAATCTTGCGGATTCCAAGCCAGTGCAGGATATCGGGCATGAGGGCCTGGAAGCGCATGTCCTTCACGCCAGCAATGTTCTCTGTTCTCTTGAAGTAGTCCGATGCTCGGTCTTCGCCACGCTTACGAGCGTTGTACACGACTTTGTGGTTAGTTAGCAGCCTGTCATAGAACGTGCAACCTCTATCGCCCGCGTGTACTCTTCACACGAGCTAGGAACGAATACTGGACAAACAGGGAGGAACGTACGATACTGAATCACTGTTGTCAACACATGTTAATCACTCTTGGGACTGGTCAATGCTCACCTTGGTCACTTCACCGAGGGCTCTGCCCTCTTTCCGGAAGTAAATGACGACACCACTGCCGCCGTTCTGGGCCTCCTTGACTGCCTCTTCGATACCGAATATGAGGTAAGGGCGGCAAGTGCAGATATCGGATCCAAACACGTCGCTACCATTGCACTAGTAGCGGTTAATGGTGAGATCGCCGCTAGCAGTGAGACGACAAACCTCGTCGTGGATACGCAAAGCCAGTCGCACCGACTCGTCGGACATCTTGGCCGGATCGCCAAAACAGTATACTGTCAAACCACCTACATGATGCCCATTGTTAGTTCGCCCTCTCACTCGAAGGCTGGGTGCTAATACCTATGGGAGGCAGGAACACCTTGATATCGTTGCGGGTGATCAACTATGACAAACGATCAGCGTGCGTTTCTGTAAGGTATGAGGGGCCATCAACCTCTGGGTAGCTTCCACCAGTGTGTTCGAAGAGAGATCTTCGCAAGGCTCCCTCGTCTGGTTGAGATTAGTTGCTGATATCTCCTCAAGCAGTCATAGTCTGACGAACCGATGCCGAATCTTTCAGCCACGCCAGGGAGATACCAAACCTGGTTGGAGATCGTCAGCATACTGTGTTGTTTAATCACCGCTGGAAATCTGACTTACCGGCTCGACGGCGAACTTAGTTACGGCCAGCTCTCCGAGCTCGTTGAGGCAGACCTTGCCGTCAGGAACACTAGCCAATCAGCCTCCATAACAGAACCCTCTCCTGGTCGTGGCTTCACTCACAGTCTTCCGCTCTTGACACTCTCCTCCAGCTCGGGAAGCTGAAAATTGTCAGACAACGTTATGTTACTCCAGCGGGCGCAATTGTACCTTCATGTGTGCCTTGGTGATGGCGATAGTTGGGCGAATATCGACTGTCACGTTTCAGTCCAAAATCTCATGTTGGAGAAAGTGCGTGCTCAGTTTCTCCACTCACCATTGTGCTTCTCGATAGTGTCCTTGAAGAGCCAGGGGGATAGATGGCCCCAGGGATCCATGGCGACAATCTTCTTGGGATCTCCCCATTGAGGGAAGGGACCAAGCTTAGCAGCCGGCTCCGTATTGGTGAAGTCGGGTCTAGAATCTATGAGTCCATGCGCTGGCTATGGCGGTAATAATGGCTCACCTATGCTCGAGATTAAGTTGTTTGCTCGCAACAGCCAGAGCATAGTAGATGGAGTAAGAACCACCACTGCGAGTCCGCTGTCAGCCATTTGTCTCGCAACGTTTATACTCTTCCCTTCAAGATGGCCGAAGGACAGTCCATGCATGGGTCACTCACTGGGCTGAAAACACATGTTAGTTGAAAACGGCTCAGCAGGCAGGCAAAGATAAGTACTGACCTCCGACAGCTTGAAGATTGGACAATAGTGTCAGCCGACGTGCTCTTTAGGCGTAAGTAGGGGGGGGGGGGGGGGGGGGGGCTAGGTCTACGGACCGTTACGTCTTCCAATGGTAGTCGATGAACGAGAAACAACAACTGGGCCACGACGATGGGGGTCCGATTCGCCCCATTTCATGGGAAGAGGATTGATGCCGATCTGCTTTGGATAAGTCCTGGGATGACAGTATCAGTCAGGGACCTCCAACGATGATAGACAGTAGGTAATGCAGCATCGTAGCTGGAAACATACGTTAGGATGATGCGGGAGGTAAGACCGGAACGCTGGCTGGGCGACGAGGGCACAGCTGGGGCCTGCAAGGTCAAATCGGACGAGGAGCTCTTGGCAGAATCACCAACGACATCGGAAGGCTCGGGGGTTCGAGATCTTTCAGGGACCTTGCCGGTGACATCAGAGTCAACAGGCAGCTGTTGGTATCGTTGGTTTAGCGAGTCAACAGCAGCCACAAGGTCAGACTGAGTCTGCTGAATGGATTTCAAGGAACTCATGACTTCGGCCAACGAGCCGTCGCCAACGGTAGGGTCGCTCATGACGATCAATTTCTAGTTGTCACACTACAACAGCAGAACACACAGAGAGAAATCCTGTGAGGAGGCAGCCCGCGTCTTTGAAAGATGCGCCGTGTCGGAGTGAAAGAAGCCGTGAACGGACTGCTATAATACTTCACGAGGGAAGATGGAGCAGGAGGGACGGCAGAATGGAGAGGGAGACCAGGAAGAGGGAGGAGAAAAGGATGAAGCGATGGAAGGTGTGGAAAGGAAGCTGGACGAATTGAAGTTTAATAGGAGGCGAGTAAGTAAGACAAAGCCAGAGTATAAGGAGAGATGGGGACAGCTATCTCTAGAGAGGCAAGTTATGAAATGACAAGTCGGTGACTACCGATGGCTGGTCCACTGAAAGGCCAAGGATGAGGGACGAGAAGAATGACTATATCGAAGCCAGCAGTGAGGGCTATGTAGTAAACAGCATGAGGGAAGATAGAGATGCACAAAGAAGAGACGGTCGACGCCCCGAGGGAGATCTCGTGACCCCATCGGAAGGCGCCGCGCGTGGTCATTGAGCTGGCCGGACGGGGAGGGGCAAGTACCCGCTACCGTGCCCGACTCTTCTTATCCGTGGGTAGCAGGTGATGCGGTACATGGGCTTTCGAATCTCACAGACGTTCCAGTCCCATCTACCTTAGTTCGGGCTGGGGACGGGGGTTGGGGTGCTTCCTACCTGCCATTAATGATTACCTTAGACATGGCAAGGTACCTACCCTACCGTCGTCTGAGTGTTGAGGTCTGGTCGCGCTATGTGCAGGTTCCTTACTTGTCCACGCATGTGCCAACCTAATTGTCCCCGGCGTGCACCTGCGTCTGCGCCTGCACCTGCAACCACCCCCGCCAACAAGTTACAGCAGATACGCTTACATAACAAATATGGTTGAGGGGCAAGTTCTGGGCATAACAGCAGACTCGCGTGCATGACATATAGTACGTTGTTGGTTGTCTATCTTAACTCATGGTCAAGTGCTGATAGGTAGGTAGACTATGTGCTCCGCGATGCCATTGATAAGCATCATTGCTTGTGGAGAATTGGAAGTCCACGATAAAGACGTGCCTTGGTTGTGGACCTATGGTGATGCGGCGGCGGCGTCCAGTTTTGTCGGGTTGCGGGGCCGTCCGCGATCTACCTAGACATCCAGACACCCAGACAAGGACTCAGTGGAGGAGGGGGAAGACAGCTTGATGCGGCTTCCAGCGCCCAAGATAAGGCGATCGGAGGACCTTAACTTACTTGCTTTACGTCCAGCAAGCACAAAGGTGTCTGAGGCAAGCAACTAGACTAGAGCGCACTGTTATAAGAATACGATGTTGAAGGCGATACATAAGGTTTAGAGTACTTTACCTCAAAAGGCCCCTCTCACTCAACCCCTCACTCACCAAGACACATAGATCGTAGACACGAGGTGTCTTACCTGCTTAACCTGCTCACAATAACAATGGGTCGTCCAGTAGCCCATGATACCCCATGTATAAATGAACTGCGTAAAGTATTTGCCTGGATCTAGCATTCGCACAGGCGGCAGACAGATGGATGGGACGGGCATGAGCCGCCTTTCAATTTGTGCATCAAGTGCCGGACTCCGATGTCGTTCCTCTGGATGAGGTAGGGTAGTAGGTAGGTATAGTAAGGTACGGATACCCAAGGCTGGTAAAGCGGGGTGATGTGTGATGCTTTATCGATTGCGTGCTTACCTAAGGCACGCAAGTTCAAGGCGGTCACCCCGCTGTCTCTCTCCGATAAGCCGTCGTCTAACAGCCTACGGTAGAATGCGTCCATGATAGTACTTTTCGGAGTACACCCAGCAGCCCACTATACGGGTACCTGCTTACCTTGGGCTGGCATGCTGTGAAGGAGATATTAGGGAGCCTGGGCAGTCTGGTACATAAGGTACAGACCTTTCCATTGTGGTTAGGTACCTAGGTAAGGTACTGTTTAGGTACCCGACCCAGATGCCTTCCATAGTACCGGTATAATCAGAGCTTTTGGGTCCACCCCGACTGGGTTTAAACCTGGTGCACCAGTGCACCATGCTCCCACGCCGCCTCTGCCAAGTACCTAAGTACTGACCAGCCGCAAAACACATTTGGAAAGTAACCTCCGCTACCTGAAAGTCGCTGTCGCGCATTCCACCGTCGTATCCGTCGCATTTGCCAAATCCTTGACTTCATCCATCACCTGTCACCGAATCATCTTCCCCAAACCACCAGTCTTACTACTTTCCCTTACTTCTGTCCAAGCCCGCGACATATCTGCGCTCACGACTGCGCACACGACTGCGCACACGACCACGCACAACGACGAACTGCGCAACCGACTATTCTCTTTCGATCTCTGTCCCTCTACATTCTACGCGCCGGTCGCGCAAATCATTCAACGGTACTCAACACTATGGGGAAGCGCAAAAGTTCGAGCAAACCTCAAGGCCCGAAGAAGGTTCGTTTACTTTTGAGAAGCTCCACCGTGCCTACGCCTGTAGGCTGGTACGTGTCGGTGGTATGTTGGCGACGCAGTCACTGACGCCGATTCGCAGAGAGAGGTTCTTCCCTCCAAGTTCACATGCCTCTTCTGCAACCACGAAGACTCCGTCGCTGTAAAGCTGGATAAGAAAGCGGGTGTTGGTTCGTTGGACTGCAGAGTGTGCGGCCAGATGTTTCAGTGCAGCATCAATTGTGAGGCTCTACTCTTGCCATTTCATTCGCTTCCCCCTTCCCAATTGCTAAACCTCAGTCAGACCTCTCGGCCGCCGTGGATGTGTATGGAGAGTGGGTGGACGCTGCAGGTAAGTCCCTTCTTTTAACACCTTAGTCGCTCTCACAAGCATCTCAAGAACATGCACCTGACACATGTCCACAGATGCTGTTGCCAAGGAAGCAGGACCCGTCGGCGGAAGCAATCACAAGACCACAAGCGCTCGGCGCGCTCCCCCGAGCCGGCCAGTAGACGATGACGACGATGACAGGAGATACGGGGGTGAGGGTATCGATATGGATGATGATGAATACTAGATGACCTAGCAACCGCTTGAACGTACATGGGGAGGTGCATTGTGAGTGCAGCCCAGGGTCTGGAACACAGGCGGCCGAGGACAGCAGCGCGAGAAGAAACCCAAGCCGAAGATCAATGCCATGTTACCTTGGCTTTCAGGACATACAGCCACACTTACACGGTGTAGAACCTGTCCCCAAAATCGCCGAGGCCGGGGATGATGTAGCTATCACAGCCCATTAGTATGACATAAGCTTCTAAGCATCGCAAGGTGCGGACTTACTTCTTTTCGTCTAGACCCTGCAGCAAAACGATTATCAGACTGTGCGATCCGAGGTGGACTGGGGCCGGCTTGTACATACCTGGTCTACAAATGCCGTGACAACTCTCAACTTTGGGAACTTGGCGGTGAAGTTCTGGATACCCTCGGGGCTCGCAATGAGGTTCAGGAACAGAATGCGGTCCTCGGGAACACCACGCGCCTTGAGGACCTGGACTGCCATGATGGCCGAACCACCAGTGGCAAACATGGGATCCAGAAGGAGAACCCAGCGCTGGGCAATATCCTCAGGCAGCTTGTCGTAGAATAGCTTTGGCTGGGCCGTCTCCTCATCGCGTTGAATCAAAATCTTGCCGATTCTGACAGAGCGGCAGCAGTCGCGTAGACCTTGCTCCATGGCCTCGCCAGCACGCATGATGGAGACGCCGCAAATCTTGCCTTGGAACATGAGGCCAGAGTAAGTTCGGCCAATGGGTGTTGTCACGTCATGCTCAACGGTAGGCAAATGGTTCAGGCCTTCCTCCACGAGCAGTCGAATGATGCGGTTGGAGTAGAAAATGAAATCGCCACGCTCCGTGTTCTTGTCTCGGATGATGCTGCCGGAGATCAGTAAGCCATCAAAGAGGTGTATTTCTAGTTTGTTCTCCCCGTGGACCCGGTGCCTCATAGTAGTCTACCGGGCGCCACGAGAGGTAGGGATAATACTGTGATAATTCTGAAGCCAGAGTGAGAGGCTTACGTAAGAAGGGCAATGAGCTGAGGCGTCTGGGACAAGACAACAACGTTGTCTAGCTTGATCTCGGTCGAGACTGTGGCCGTGGGCTTCTGACTTTCTGAGCGATACAACGGGCCGACACACTGTGTAGGTCCGCTGCCGCTGGCGGACTTGGATTCTTGACTGGCCATTTCTGAGAAAAGTTGCTGCCGATTGATCAAGATTTACTCGAGAGAAAGGCTGGCGATAGTATGCCTAGGAGGAATTGGATGCAAGTGAGAAACACAGAGGTACCGGTACCGGATGGGTGGGAGGGGTTTCAATGGAAGATGTCCAAGGAAGGCTTGGCTTGGATGCTGAGGTAGAAGAGGAGGTGAATAAGATGGGCTTTGGCGGGGGTCGAAAAATCTGGAAACTAGTGAGATGGAAATAGGGCAGCGGCAAGCAAGCTTCCAATGGATCGATATAAAGTATTTTAGGACCAGGTCTCCGCTGGAAGCCAAAAGGGTTGAACGGGGTGAACAGATCGAATGTGTCACGAGACACAATGGAGCTCGCCGTCCCCCGTTGCTCGGGTCAGATAGGTTGCCTATGCCTTGCGTCGAAGGTAACGAAGTGGCCCTGCGAGAGAACAATTATGTCTCGACTTGTGGGTAGGTGATAGCCATAAACTTGGGAAACACTTATTTGGCTAGTACCTTCCTTTATTATGTATTAAGGCACGTCAGGTAAGGTATCCGTACCTCAAGGCACCTCAGGTCTGGAGCCGCTCAACCTGATGCGCTCACAAGCACCCCTCCGGCGATAAGGGACGTGCGGGGCCTGTCCAGTGTGTGATGTGAGGGGTTATGTTTTCGTACGGATAAGGTACACCTACCTAGGTTGACGGGATTCAACCCCACCAACCAACCTGCCGAAAAGTAACCTTACCTACCTGCAAGGTACCTAAGGTGTAACAACCACCTGCCGCAAGCAGCGACAAATTTTGGATGGCTTTAAGCGTTTCTACTCAATAATCGGGGGTGCGCACCTATGCATAGCAGTTGAATGACCAGGGAGGCAGGCATCCTTCAGTGCTCTCCAAGTGGCACCAGTACCTGCCATACCGTGCCACCTAAGGTACAATACTTCCGGTCGGGGGTTGCTAGAAGACCCCGTCCGGCGGGAGCGACGCTGGGCGGCGCGGCAGCCACAGTACGGCAGGAAACTTGTGCCTGAGCGGAGGACAAGCAGACTCAATGCCCGTATCCGTACTTGCCTCCCTACCGCGCGACACGCCATACCTTCCTTCCCTTTCCTTTCTTCCCTCCATTACTTAACAGTATGCGGCTTTGAGGGCTCCAGCGCTGGATTTTCCCGAATTGAAATAAATCATTCATCGAAACCTCTCACGTTTGGGATCCGACTTTGTCGGATGCCTTTTCTCTTGTGAATGCGCAAGGCTGTCTTGCAAAGTCTCTCGGTTTTCACTCTTCCCATCCTCCGCAATGCCTGTCGGCTGTTACCTTGACTAAGGCAGAGTCGCAAGCCAGCAGGACGTGCCTCACCTCAGCTACATCCCTTCCCGGCCCTCTTAGAAACAACAACGACCCCACGCTCTTCTCGACAACCGCCTGCGTCACTCCTTCCGTCCAAGTAAATACTGGACTACTTGTTTCGCCCATCATCCGCTACACCGAGTCTCCCATAGTTTCCAGTCATCACCACGTATCGCCAACCACCACCTTTCACCTCATTGGGAACCTGCACCGTGGCTGTCATAATAAGCCTGTTTGCGTTGGCCGCGACATAACATGGCTACCAGAGACGGACCGAGCGTGCCACGCAAAAAGTCAACAACCTACGGCAAGACATCGCGAAAACGACCCATACACGCGTTTCTCGATTTATCCAATGCTTCGCGACGCGCCGGCAATGCCGCGCAACCGATCGATGCCTCCTCAACGCCTGCCGAACAGCTCTATGATCTCTACGACCCACCATCCGATGACCCTTTGCGCCTTCCACTGTCTCGACACGTTGCGCCACCTGTTGACGCGACCGTAATCCAGTCGGATGGGTCGAACAAAACGAAGAAGAGGAAGGTGGCTGTAGCGCCTGTAGCCAAAGCCGATCGCAAGCTCGATATCAAAACACCTGTCGTCACTTCACCAGCGGGGTTGCCTTCTCATACCCGCCGAGCGAAATCGCCCTTCAAAACAAGCGCAACAAGTTCTATTGGCGTCGTCAAACAGGAATCTCTGCCCCGTAGTGTTGATGGACCCAAGATACAGACACAAGCCGAACAACAACCACGTAAGATCGTCTCTCGTGCTCATTCCGAGGTTGAGGTTCCTCGCAGGACCGAGACCAACTTGCAGACACGACAAGCAGTCTCACAACCTTCGGAAGCGCTGTTGGTGGCAACATCAAGCACCGCGATTACGAGACCACAAGCGACCAAGCCGAAAACGCTGTCAAAGCCGAAGCGTATCCGTCTCATTGATCAGTTAGCGGCGCAAACAGAAGATAGCTCCGACTCCGACTCCGAAATGTCAGATTCGTCAGAGCACTCTAGGATGAGAGCGGCCGATGCTTCTCCTTCCACCCCGATAAAGCCTATTGACATGACACCGAAACCATCGATGCGGCCCAAGGTGCTCTCAAGTACTAGGAAACTGAGATCGACGTACGGAGAGCAGAGGACGCTGAAGACAGATGAGTCGGGAGGGGACAGCCTTGGCAGCCAGATGGGCGTGGACGGCACCCAGCATGACCTGAGTCCGCCTCCGACAATGTCGAAGCTTGCGTCATTTACATTTGAAGAAGAGGAGATCGAGGAAGACGACTCTGCTAGAGGCGGTGGCATCATCGACATCCATGCGCTCAGGCAAGCCGGTGCCAATCATCGTTTTGCAGACAGCATGGCCGATTTGCTCGACAGAGTCGGCACGCCCCAGCCGCCCAGATCACAGCCAGCCCGCTCGAGGCGCAATGCCTTGTTAGAGCTGGCGAGTAAGCTGCGGGACAAGACGTTTGTCCGTCAATTTCGCGACCAGGGTGCGAAGGACGCCTTGTTTCACGCTCTCGGACAAGAAGAGGACTTTGTTAGCGGCTTCGTCCTCCTGTCTGTTGTTCTGGTTCTATTCACATCGTACTCGGTCCCTCATCTCGTCCCTCAGCTACAGAGCGAAGGTATCGCACAACTAGCTTCGACGATGTTCAGCCTGGACGAGGATATTGTCAGCGTTGCAGCGCAACGGAAATCTAACTTATCTAGGAACGCACAATCATCACTTTCTGCTCTGAAATCCACAATACAGCACCTGGATCTATGGAAGGGCTCTCCGCCCGTCATGCTGTCGCCAAGAACGGTTTCTTTGAAAGCCATATCCGTGCTCTGCAAAGATGGTGACAGTACGGCGACACGACATATCCTCTCCAGCTTAGCAGATCAGCTATTTGGCTTCGCCGAGACAGGCTGGGAAAACTGTAGAGCTCATGGCATTGAGGGAACAGACGGCGGCCTAGCGCTTTCTCTCCTCGAAGGCTACTCAATTGTGGCAATGGAGTCCGACGCCGGCCCTCGTTGGACAAAGCGATATCTTCCCATTCTCGCAGACATTCTGACGATAGCCATGGCTCGACCTATGCAAGAATTCGGTGATTTCGAGTCGACAGTATTGAAATTGGCACTGAATACAACGAACAACAATCCCGTTGCTGCGAGTGCCTTCAGCAGAGGAGATCTTTTCCGGAAGCTAGCTGAGACCAGCGTTGCGGGATTTGAGCTCCTGGAGCAGTCTGTCCGCAAAGGGGCTTTTTCAAAAGATGTTTATGAGACACTCATGCTGCTGCTAGGCGTCATGATCAATACGTCAGAGCACTCCCCGTCAGCCCGGCAGTCTGTGGATGCGTGGCACGGGCAGGACGGCTCAACCTTGGACAGGCTGATAGAAGTCTACCTGGAGAACCGCGATTCGGCTGGAACGGTGAGTGATCAGAGTCAGACGAAAGGTACTATGCACAGTCAGACTAACAAATTTGTGTAGGCCGATTCGGTCGAGAAAACCTCAGTTGCCGTAGCCCACGGTTACTTGGCGATACTATTGGGCTACTTGTCATTGGGTAGTCAAGTACGCCGGCGACTGGAGGAAAAGAGTCACGGAAGAGGCACCAAGTACTTGCTCGATTCTATTCAGGAGTTCATGGCTTTGCATCAAAAGCTGGACACGGATGAGTTGACGACGAGCTTGCAAAACCTTGTTAACGAGCTGAGGCAGAGGCGTAAGGCCTCTAGTCGGTAGCAAGCTACAGCCGCATTCATTGGAGTGAACGAAGAACAATATGATTTATTTGGATCTAGAGAAATGGCTACAGCCAAGACAGGTGGCATCCTCAGTCAAGGTGCCGCCATCGCTAGCAACATCTTTTGGGATGAGAAGGTGGCAATCCGGTTCAGGGGGGTTGACCGCCACAAGAATTGTGATAGACTAGCCCGGCGATGAAGGCCGGTGGATAGGCAGGCAGGCAGGTATCCCGGCGGCATGGTTTGCGAGGAGCACGACGCTTCCGTTACTCGTCTTTGGGTATTCTAAAAGAACTCTCGTCACCTAACTTTCGAATTGGATGACGATCCATACTGAGGTGTCCAGCTGGATCCAGCTCATCTTACTACCAATCATTGCTCAAACATTCTAGCGCACATCTGATTTCGATTATTGTATGGATAGGTCCCTTGTGCCGTGGGATTTTCCAGGTTGGTGGGGTTTCTGGAGTATCACAACCTTCGCCGAGTTGGGTGTCAAGGTCTTATTCGGAATCCAGACTGGATGTGGTGTAGGACATTGGGGACATGTCTCTTATCTAGAATTGGTGGGTGGGACGAGAGGCAACACGATTATGACAAAGCCAAGCTGTAGTAAATACGAACGTATCATTTCTTCTTAAATAAGTGACGATAGCGCATAGAAACGGTAGTTCTTGGTCCTGGCTTCGGCACCTTAGTCACATAAGTCATTTGGTATCGAGGAATCGATCACGTCTACCTAGGTAGTACATAGGTATTACCTCATAAGTGTGCTAAGCCCACGGGCAGGCCAGAGCTGTTAAGTGACCTGAGCACAGGGCAATGTTCAAGTGCTAGCTTCTGGTAGCGGAAGCCCACCTCTCCTCAGAGATGTGCATGTGCCTGCGTTATATCTCGCTCTCTGCCGCTGGGTTCCATACTTGCATACGCCATGCCGCCGCTCCATCCCCCCTACATCAATCTCTCCTTCTACATCCATTAGCACTACCGCTTTCCGCTACACCTCTACGCTGCAACATCGATCCTTTCTGCCTGCTTCGACAAGAATTGTCTCTTCGCTCCTCAATTTGTCCTCTCGCCTATTACCTAAGGTAATAACGTGCGATCAAAAAAAAAAAAAAAAAGAAGACATCCCTCCGTGCCTGCACTGCACAGCAAAGACACGCGGCAATCGTCTAGTCTCCTCTACAACCCTTCCTTCTTTCAGCCTCTCTACCACGAACTTTCTCGAAACCAGCAGTACGGGAATCTCCTTCCCCAACACAGAGCTCTAGCGAAAACACATCCATTTCATTCGTCTCCTTCTCATCAGTCACATAAATGCCGGCGCCAAAGAACCGAAAGGTGGCCATTGTTGGCAGTCGTTCTGTTGGTAAGTCCTCTCCCTCATACTTTCATTTACGATACGGCCCAACTGGCCTTGTTTGCATTATAACAATGACAACTAGTTTTGGAAAGCGGTTTTCATAGACTAACATCTTCACTTCGCAAGGCAAATCATCATTGGCAGTCCAGTTCGTAGACGGCCACTTCGTTGACAGTTATTACCCTACTATCGAGAATACCTTCAGCAAAACGATTCGCCACAAGGGACAGGAATTTGCGACAGAAATTGTCGATACTGCAGGACAGGTATGTCATCCCCAGATTGCTTCTAGCAACGACTAGACGAACCGGCGGGTTGCATCTAGGAGAAAAGGTCGGAAGCGCTACACATGGGGTCAGAGATGCGAGAACAGACAAGTGCCACGACTAACAGGCAGGAAAAAACCAGGATGAATACAGCATTTTGAACTCAAAACACTTCATCGGCATCCACGGCTACATGCTAGTCTACTCGGTGTCGTCTTTACCGTCCTTTGAGATGGTGCAAGTAATCCGCGAGAAGATTCTGAATCATTTGGTACCTACACCCCCGTGGCGGAATGAGCGAGCAAGAGCGAAGTACTGACTGGAATCTTGAAAGGGTACCGAATCAGTCCCTATAGTCATCGTCGGTAACAAGAGCGATCTCCGTCCCGAGCAGCGACAAGTCAGCGCAGAGGAAGGCAAGAGGGTAGCAGAGAAGATTCAATGCGGATGGACCGAGGCTAGCGCACGATACAACGAGAATGTCGGAAAGGCCTTTGATATCTTGATTGCTGAGATTGAAAAGGCCCAAAATCCAGGCGAGACGGCAGAGGGGGGCAAATGCATTCTCATGTAGGAAATTAGAGAGATCACTACATCAATTACACTTATTCTCAAACCCATATCGGTCTACAAAGAGTAGTCGACTGGTGCGGGCATTCTAATACGGTGACATGGTAGGTAGCAGTTGTTCAGGGCAATATTTGAGGTTGATGGGAGTGCACAAAGACATGCGATCAAGGCAGTAAAACACTACGATAGCGCAACGCTCTGAAGTATCCGTACGACCAACCAAAATGATGATGGTCCCTTATTCTTAAGCCACTGTCCCGGACGCTGTGGGTACAATGCGGGTGTTTGAGTTGAGTTGCAGGGGGGGGTTGTACGGATACGGATACTTAAGGTAGGTTGCGATAATAATTACTTGCCAAACTAAGGTGGCACTGCGTGGAAGGATGGAACCTACCTCGCCTTAAGTATTATTACATGCTAAGTAAGGTAGGTAGGAGCCCACCGTGCCTACTTGCTGGTCGGGCTCGCGAATGGGCCTGTGGACCCTGCCTTACATCAGCTAGGAACTCAACTCATCGAGTCCCGTCCAGTTTGGTCGCTTTCACTGCCCCTGACATCGAGGGGACTGCCCAATGCGACACATTCCTATTAATTCCTTCCGTACCTCACATACCTCTCCGACAGCTTTTTCTGACCGTCTGGCTTGTGGGAATCTAGAAAGCAGCAAAGACAGAAACCTTCCTTCTACTTTTATACTTTGCTTGCCTACATATTTACAAGCACCTCCAACTCGGGCCCCTCGGAGAACCATACACTGGGAATCTACCATCTTTGTGCCCTCATTCGTGCAACATCTCAAGTCAAGTGTCGAACGCTATACAACAATGCTTTGAAGCAAACAAGCTTTGACTGGATCCTCCTTGCCTTGTTGATCAAGCGAAATTGCCTTTCACCGACCCGGCAGACGTTCATATGCGGTGCATCGCACTGTCCATTATACTGCCGTCATCCCACTCGTCTCATTTCAACTTCATCCCATCCAAACGCCGTCTCTGAATCCCTTAGATATTCACCTGGCTAGCCTGGCCCTCACTATCTGCCGGAGTCTGTCAGCATGGAGCAGAACATTATCTGTCCCTTTTGTGGAAAGGCTGGCGGAGGAGAAATCGAGATGTTGCTGGTAAGCCTAGTTATATTCAAAAGTCTCTTCAGTCAACTGACTGCGTTTCAGCACATGGAGACTTTTCACCCTGAGGAAGACAATTCTCACCCTCCCCCACCCATAACGCAGTCACCGCAAGAGCAGTATGCCGAGTGTCCAATCGAGGGTTGCGGTGAATGCATTCCCTTGGCTGAAATTGACTACCACATGGACCTTCACCTCGAAGAAGACCGTCAAGTTGCTGAGAACCCAAATTCCCAAGCCGTCATACAATCTCGGCACCCCAATAATACAACTGTCACCACCGCCGCCGCCGCCTCTAGTGATTACCGCGAACACGCCGTCGACGGTCAGAATACGGCTGCTGAGCAATGGGGGAAACTGTTGTCACTAAACGCAAAGTCGAAAGGCAAGGAAGGAGAGAAACGACTTGGAGTACGTAATTCTCTCCTAATTGCTTGGACCCAGAACTCCGACTGATCATTATTAGAAAGCAGAGCTGGGGAAATATGCGCATGAACAACAGATGCCAGACTGGCTCGTATCTCTTCTTCATAAAGGTGGCGAAGTCAAGAGCGATGGTGAGTGCCCTGCCTTTGCGTGATCGGGTGACACTGACACAACTAGGGGTGATTTCTGTTCTCGAGCAGCTTCTGAGCCAGAGCAAATCTACCGAATATGCCTTTTTGTGCGACTCGGCCGTCCAGCATGTATCAAAGCTCAAGAAAGAAGGTATCGTAGTCTCGGCAATTTATCCGGGAAAACTGATGCTTATTGAAACCTAGGTGGCTTCTGCGGCTATCGCAACATTCAAATGATGGTTTCTTACATTGTTGGCGCCAATGCCCCTGGCATGGAACATTTCAGGGGCCGTCTACCTACTATATTCGAGATCCAGGAGCTCATCGAGAGAGCCTGGGACCTTGGCATCAATTCCCAGGGGCGAATCGAAACCGGTGGCATCAAGGGGACACGCAAGTACATTGGTACTCCGGAGGTAAGACGGCAAGCAGTTTGCAGTATTATCAAAACTTTAGCCTAACTAATTGGGCTCCTAGGCACAGGCACTCTTCGTTGGCCTTCAGATACCGTGGGTGTATAAGTTCTTGAAAACCCACATGAGTAAAAAGCTGACGCTGAAGCAGATGCACTGCGCAGGGATTCAGAGATCATGAACCAGGAAGATCTGAGGCTAAGCTGATGATGGCTGTCGAGGAGTATTTCAAGCAGGGAGCGCATTGCCAAGGTTCAAAAGTGACCTGCACGTCACTTCCGCCTATATACTTCCAGCATGCCGGTAAGTCGTTATTCTGATCACGTAAAAACAAACAGTCTGCTAAGAGGAGTGTCGTGTTCAGGCCATTCATTGACAATCGTTGGCTTCGAGAAACAAATGCATGGCCCTGCTAATCTGCTTGTCTTTGACCCCGTCTTTCGCGATCCACCAGCGCTTGCCCGACTTATTGGCCAAACTTTCAAGCACAAATCGGCAGACGAATCTCTCAAGCCATATCGCCGGGGCGCCAAGTACCTCCGAAGATATCGCGAGTTTGAAATCCTCAGGTAGGCCCCGAGCACAAAATTCGGCCTGGACCGGACTGATTCTAATCCGTATCGCAGACTTGATAGCAGAATTCCCGTGCCCTCGACAGCGCACGGTAGCTCTTGATGTTAGAACTGGTGGAAGAGCTGCCAAGTTGACGAGGCCCATCTGTGAACGTCTCATCTATAACGATCACTCGGTTCGCTGTTGAGCGAACCAGTGTTGCAGCTTCGCGAGAGCACGACCGCGATGAGAGATCTTATTTTTTGCCGCCTTGTCCATCTCGGCATAGCTTGGTGACTCGTTAGCAAGGCAAACATCGGCCAACACTCGACAATAGACTTACGTCTGACCATCATATTCGAAAATGGCATCCCATCCTTAACGTGGTTAGCTTCGAAGTTTGCATAGGAAAGTGTCAGACTTCTGCTTACCAAAGTCAACCGGGCCTCGAGGCGGCACGATCTTGCCCTAGTTATAAGGTTGGCAAATATTCAGGCACGAACAATAATGTTGATGACTTACTCTAGTTCGTCCTTGGAAGAGGAGAGGTTCGCTTCCAGGACCCGGCGAGTAGGCAAACGTGCACACGGCATCGGCAGACTTATCCTCGTATGCAACTAGTAGATTGTTTAGACCCTGGTGGCCAATGGATTCCATGAACCATTTGCTGGGTAAAAACGGTCAGTAATCGAGGATGTCTGACGGAAAGACATGAAGACATGTCGGCCCCAACAAAACATACATGTAAGGGCCCGGGAGATCGCCGAGGGCCTTGAAGCATAGGCAGGTGTCTTCAACCAGAACAGGTCCTTGGATCTAAGAGATGAATGAATCAATATGCCATGGATTGCACTTTGGAAGTTTCTGAGACCCTGCTACTCACAGTCTCGGCAGCCTTGCGACATTTTGCTATGGTGACTTCCTCAACTGTGCCTTGGACTTCCTCGAGGTCAACAGCATGGCTTTGTACCGTGATTGCTGGTTCCAGGATGGCTTTGACCTCTCGCAACTTATTGGCATTGCCAGTGATGAATTTGACCGTCGGCGGCGTAGACATGACGGGCAGAGGTGAGTGGCGGAAGTTCTGGTCTGGGTGCTCGGATAGGGAGTGCTGGTTGAAGGACAAGCTATGCGCGTGGCGTGCCACAATGGATTGGCATATAACTGCAACCAATCGTGTTATGTACGTAAGAGATTTGACATTAACCCCATCGAACTCTTTGCCTCAATGTGGGAAAAATGTTATCGCACCCTGTTGCATTATCCACCTTACTGACGTCGGCTACCTGCATATATCATATCTGGATGTCGCAGGCATAGAAAAGACTTGGGCGTGCTGGGCCTACCATCGAGACATAAGAATGACTGCGCAACAGATTATTGCGTGGTTAATGTAGGGGACTGACGAAAACTTTTAGAGAGACCACATCTAAGGCCCTTTTGGGTACGAATATGTCCATGCACCTCGCTTTCCCAACCTGGAAGTAACATCGCCAGCACTTCTCTTTGCTCTTTCATCCCCCTCTACTCCGGAGAAACCCAGTCTCACAGGGGAACCAAGCTCATAGTCCAATTCTTGTTACGTCGTCACTCCTTCTCGTCCATCCCATCATGACGAGTGGTCGTTCTTCCATTGCTCAAGCCAAGCCTCCACCCTCGAAATGTTGGTCTCCATTTCATCGGATGTATTGCTCGTAAGCTCGACGACTATTTCTTCATCAAAAGCCTCCCTAGCCTCTTGAAGTAGGACCTCCATGATCTCCGAGTCTAGATTCTCCTGAAGCTTGGCCTCGGGATATTTCCTGAATGGAGCAAACCCAGCCGCGTTAGCGCTCATCATCCTTATTGGCAGCCTTTTCGCTGCCACTCATTCAAGAAGAAGAAACAAAGAGGGGGAGAAAGCAACAATAATAGCGGAAGAAGAACAAGATAGGACCACACAGCCTCACTTACCTTGCTGATAGACGGTCATAGAGTGTCGTCGAGTCCACACGCAGCACAACTACGAGGTCAATCCAACTTTTGGGGAATAAGTCGCAGGCGTGCCAGTCAATGATGTAGCCCCCTCCTGGACGTCACCCTCAATGGCATCGAGCAACTGAACCCCGTATTCGTTAGTATAGCGAACATTCAAGCAATGGAGATACCGAGTGACAGGAAGCGCAGCGGCAGACTCCAATTCCCAATAAGAAGAGAAAATGAGTGCAACAGGGGGGCAAACCTTGTCTTCGTCAACAATCCAACTCTGAAACTCGTCGTCCCAACCCTCATGACACTCCCGATCTTTGACAACTTGGTTGACTGAGAGGTGCTTGAGGCCTGTACGCCTAGCGAGCTCTTCGCAGTGCGTCGTCTTGCCCACGCCTGGCGTACCAGTGACGATGATGTTTGGTGACGTTCTCATTTTGGGAAACAAAATCTGGATTGACGCTACGATGGACTGAACGATTCTCCAGGCGTCTCTCAGAATAGTGGCGAGTATAAGGCTGAAGATAGGTATGGCAAGGGCCGTTTAGAGCTAGAAAAGGATAGAGAAAGAAACTGGACGTGAAAAGCTTCGTTTATTGCATTGCATGTAAGTGAGTCCAGTGAGGGCCACTTTCTCAGGTAGCATGAATGCGCGCTATCCAATTACAGCGCTTTGGTATGGGTAGGGTTGGTGGGTGCGTCGCGGTCACGTGCGGGGCGCTCACCTGTTACCCTCAACCAAGACATCTACGGCTTCTACCTTAGATAGAATCTGAAGAGGGCAGTCTATTCTCAATATGCATCAGGTGACTCTCACCTTCATTGTAGCTTCGGAGAGTTTTGGGATCTTTCATCATGCAGGTGGGGGGAAAGCACCTGAAATCGATTGTTTGGGAATACTGGAGGCAATTGCTCATAATGCCAAGTACAAGAAGCTGTCATCTCGGATATAGCCTCCTTCCCACCTCTGCCACCTGAGTAGTCTGCTACAAGAATAGAAAACATGATGGGCACTACTTTTACAGTGTCCGGGCAGCCGTTTTCCACCCAAGCTTCCGAATATGAATAGGCTGGACGAATGTGTTCGATGCACAGTTTTTTCTTTCCAACTCTCCCGTCCTTCCCACCTTGTCTCAATCACTTAATCGGCAACATCCACGGTCAAACTTAACGCCATCACAACTATTGCTTCTTTCTACATTATCCATGCAAGAACCTGACGTAATAAATCCCCAGATCTAGCTCCCTAAAGAAGGAAGCTACAGACACACCGCCGCCCATTCCTAGGCCACCGCTCACTTGATAGTCGTCATCATTCCAGTGGCCAGTCTTGGTTAGAGGCCAGCGAGCAAAACAAGGACGAAACACTCTACACGGTAGGCTCTATTACCTACCTGTCTACTTATCAAGACAGACAAGGGCATCTTCTAGAATCGTTTGGCTGTACACGGTTATGCGGCCACATCTTCCTCATCAACCTCGGCAAGGTCGCCATTGGGCTCGAAGTCGTCCTCAGGATCGTACTCGAGCTTCTCTTGCTGAGCAATTGCTTGAGCAGACACGATCTCAGCGAGACGTTTCAAGCGCGGGGTTTGTAGCCCTAGTAATTCATTGTTAGCGAGGCCGGATCTGGTACGACTTTCGATGTAGTCCACATACATGAAGGAGTGTAAGTCTCTAGAGCGGTGATGACTCTGGGTTCGGCAATCTCGTAAGGTCCACTGTCGTCCATGTCGACGGCTTGGAGCAGCAGTACATCGCTCTTTTCCGTGACCCTGGAGGCAACAGCCTTCATGATCTCGCCGTTGATGGGCTGCTCATAGTCTGCGACTAAGTACTGGTTCAGGAGCTTTTGGATCTGGTTGGGCGACAGCCTGTCGAGAAATATCTTGTCAGCAACTTCCACATAACCTTGCCGTGCATGAAACGGGATTCCACTCACATCCAACAAATATCCTGAATAATCTCAATATCATTCAGGGTCGCCTTCTTCAGTTGAAGAAGCTTCGTTGCTTGCTATAGAACGGGTTAGCTTGGCTCGCTTAGGCTCTGTCCTGGACGATGGACACTTACCATCAAGTGCTCTAGCTGGAGAGTACCCTCAGGCATATCATGACTCTTGCACCACTCCTCAATACGCGTGATGTTGTAGTTGATCTGAAGACCACGCTTCCAGGAGAGGAAGTTGCGCCTCATCAGGAGGTCGTTGAAGGCGGTGACGCCAACGAGACGAAGCAATTCAGTGATGGTCTGCGTAATGATGGAGTCTTCGAGGTAGTAAGCCTTCATGGCGCGGAACACGCTGTTGAGTAGGCTGAGCAGGTTGTCCATGCTATAGGCGGGAGTCGAGTTGGACTGCAAAAGTTTGCCAAGGAAACGACTGCTTTCGTTGGTGACAAAGCCCGGAAGCGACTGAGACTCAATGATGGCGGGGATGATCATTTTCTGAAGCTTCTTCTTCAAGACCTTCATCCAGGTATGGTAGATATTGAACTCCAAACTCTCCAAGTCGTGCTTGACAATCTCCAGAAGACGGTCGTACTCATAGTTGTCCGTCTTCTGCGCCTCGTACCAGTCCTCGGCAAGGAAGACGAACGACAGCATCTCATGCACGTTGGAAAGCCAGAAGGCCCCCGGGTTGATGGCCTCATCGCCGTCATGTTGCATAACTTCCTGCTGAATCGACTGCATAACATTGGCGAGGAAGCGCTCAGACTCTTTGACAAAGCCATTGTTCCACATCTCGGAGGTAACCAAGTTGATGAGATAAGAGGGGAAGAGAACCTCCTTGTCGGATGGTGGCGGGTTTGTGTTTGGGGAAGGGATCTTGAGATTGCGGATGAGACCCATGGTGACCTCCTCATTAAGACCATCTTCGTCGGCCAAGAGCGTCTCGAGTTCGAGCTCGATGTTATCGACACCAGGCATGAAACCTGTGCCCTGCAGGTTCTGTCTGTGGGCAGTGCTGGTGATGGCCATCGAAACAGGACGGGGGTTGTAAGCAGCGCTGAAGCGATCCACAGCAGTGCTGGGTTCGGCACCGGCACTCCTCCTCTTCGGTTTCTTTGAGGACACGAGGTTGATGAGGCCAGGCGCGGCCGACGGTGGCGCCTGAACAGCACCGTTGGCAAGCTCGCCATTGGCCGGGGCCATTCTTCTCGCCAGCTCCAGCTGATCTTGCAGTTCGGCGAGCTGTTGGCGCAGTGAAAGCTTCTCGCTCTCGATCTGTGCACTCTGCTGGCGAACAGTGTCTAGCTCTGTGCTCGTAGAGCGCAGAGATTCTCTCAGCTCCCGCTCTTCCTCCTGCATCCTCTTGATATTGGACGTTGATTCCTCGAAGCTCTGCTGGAGCTTCTTCATCTCGTCCTCCATTGCCTGCAGTCTAGCAACTGCGATGCTACCCTGGTTGGCCTCGGTCTGGAGCTCCTTCGTCCGAGCCTCCAAGGCATTGTGGCGGTTCTTCCAAGCCTTGATTTGACCCTCATAGTTCTCCACCTGTGATGACAAGTTCTTGTTCTGTGCCTTCATGGTGCCGAGAGATTGTGTCAGTTCGACGACCTTGTTTTCGAGCTTGTACGAGATCTGCTTCAGATCACGAGCTTCCTCTCGAGTCTTCTTGTAATCACGACGGGCGAGTCTGCCACGCCACAGGCTCTGGATGAGAGTAACCTTCTTCCTGTATTGCCTCCAAGCCAAGACTTGTCGTCGAGACCGCCACACGCGCTGGATGAGCATAGCTGCGTTACCTACGCGGGTCTCCATGATTTCTTTTCGTCGAAGGTAACCTTTGGCCGCCGCTTGCGCCAGGACGACATCGTTCCTGATGCGTATGTACTCCTTTCTTTGCCGTTGACCACGCCAAACCCGCTGTATTGTTGTTGCTGCTTTGACGGTGCGGAGCTCCTGGACTTGCTTTCGGGCGTTGTATGCTCGCACTGCGGACTGAAAAGTCACGATGGCTTGGCGGGCCTCAAGGTAGCGACGGCGGTAGAACTTAGCACGGAGGTTCTTCTGGATCAAAATGGCGCAATCGTTGAGACGGTTTGTGCGCAGGTTCTCGAGGAAGGCGAGCATGCCGGCACGGAAAAAGATCTTGGTGAGGCCCAGCTGGTACTTGTCGGAACCTTTGCCCGAGCTGGTGCCAAGTGCCTTGGTAAGGATAGCGTTGGCCACTTCCCTAATATCCGACGCCCACAGGTCCGAGTTGATGAGCATGTAGTAGCGCAGAGCAAACTCCTCGTATGTCCATCGAGTAGGGTAACCAGCGCAACTTATGCGAACAGTCTCGAGAACACCGCAAGCCCGCAACTGACTGAGGACCATGGGGCCCTCAAACTTCCACGCCTCCTTCGCCTCATTAGGCTTGATGCAACGAATGTAGTGAACGTCTGTGTTGTTGATGGTGTTCATGAGCTCAATGAGCGAAGAACGGAATATACCTCCCAACGTCGGCTTTCTGTTGACGGCCACGCCGATCTTCCTACCAGCGGCGGGTTTCACTGAGCTCGATGAAGCGGAGGCGACGTCCTTTTCACGCACGGCAGAAGCTGCATCCAAGACATCGCGGAGGAACTTATTCGTCGAGGCACGGAGGACCGCCATATGTTCATCAGGTACGGTGTCGCGGTTCTTCTCGATGAAACCCTCAGATTCGTACGTGACATCCACAGCATAGTGGCAAACGGTGAACGCAGACTTGCCGAATCTAGGCTTTTTGTAGAACTTGTGCTTGTCGGTGCCGTAGTTGTGGTGCAGTTTCGTGACAAACTGCTCGTCGGAGCCCATGGGAAGACGAGACTCCTCGTCCAGCAGCGACAGGATACCGAGCTTGCCCTCGATGAGATCGATGGCCGGTTGATTGTCGGAAAACTCGATGAAAGTCCAGTCGATCTTTTCCCTCAGATATTCTTCTTGCTCCAGCTTGAACACGTGTTGGTTGAATTCTTGCTGTAGCTTCTCATTGGCGTAATTAATGCAGAACTGCTCGAAAGAGTTCTTGGCAAAGTGTTCGAAGCCATAGATATCAAGCACACCAATGAATGAGATGACGCGGTTCAAGACTTCTTCAGTTGCCAGACTGTGGTTGATGATATCGACGAGCCAGTCAAAAAGGCTGGAGTAGATGAACTTGGCGACTGAATCACGGACGACGATGGCCTGAGCCTGCGTCAAGTTTGACGTAATCTTTTCGCCTCTCGTGACCAACTGCTTTTTGACAATCCACTTGGCGAACTCCGTTCCGTTGACACCCAGGATCGATGAAGCCAGCTCAAGCGAGGGCTCTGTCGGCGCGAGGACACTATCGTTGCGCGAGGCTCCAATCTTGATGTTGCCTAGGTGGAGCAGACCAGAAAGGAGTCTGAAGATCTCCGACTGCTGTGCATCGGTGACACCGATTGTCCGCAGAGACGCCTTTGTCGCTTCAAACTCGGCCTTATCGTCGACACCATCGATCGTTGGGCAGTTGCCCTGGTTGAGGTACTCGAACTCCTCAATGGGCAACAGATGCAGATCCTGACGCTCCTTGTCTGAGGCACCAGCAACAAGTTGGTAGAAAATGTGGTAGTTGCGCTCCTTCAGGGGTTGGAAAACAAGTCTGGATCGCTCGAGGAGGTAG